TTACTCTCTTGAGAAAATTCAGAGGAAAGGCACAACGAATTGGCGTCGGTATGAAGTTCTTGCTTGAGCCTACTATGTGCTTGCTCCTGGTTATGAGAGAAGAGAAAGTGGTAAAAATCAGTAGGTATGTGGGTTTCTAATCGCTTGGCTTATTTTAAGAGTAAAAAGAAATCATATTTAAATTTGCCTCCAAACTGTTTTGAGATTCTTCAAATAATTACTTCCATGTATTATTTTTTTAACACAACTCTGAACAGGATATTCATTTCCAATACAACTTGATCAGCCCAAAAGGATGAAGTGTAAGTTATTTACTTGACTGGGAAGTAAATCAGCCTTAAAATGGAGGGTTCTTTACCATAAGGTGTGAAAGTGAAAAACCTGGGGTCCTTCAGTTGACAAAGACTAATGAAATCAAATTTCCAAGGGCTTCTTCCTTACCTGCTAGTAAAAGTAACAAGGATATAGTTTTTCTGTTGAATATTATTTGAACTGAATACTTGGTCAGCTCAGACCAAATATTCAGAATCAGTTTCTATAACCAAGGCCAGGCAAAATCTTGCAAATGAGCGCAAATCCAGGAGATTTGTTAAACTAATTTCCCTTCAGGTTTTTCCTCCTTTATATGCTATAGGAATATATTAAGCAGTAGGACAGAATTGTATTTCCATTCGTATCCCATACCATTTAATGGATGTGAGATTTTATGTTGTGCAGGTGTGTGAGAGAAGAAATGCATTAACAGACATTACACTTAAATCTCAAATAGAATTCTAGTATTTAATGGGATAAAATAAGGTAAAAAGTATTTTCCTTAGTTCAAAATTTGAAATGTCTAACGTCATTGTGAATAAAGATAATTACTTTATTACTCTTCTAAAGCAGAATTTTTTTTCTCAAAATTATCTTGGCTAACTGTTAATATGGCTTAAAGAGAGCATTAAGAAATACTTCATGTACTGCAAAGCCAGCAGAGGGAACACTGAGTACTGATTTACTAGGGGCCACCAAAAAACTGATTATTTGGAGGAAGAATTTAAGTAATGGAGAACTGGTGACAAAGCACATGAAGTTAGGTAATGAGAACACAGAAATCTTTTCTCATCATTGGTATGCAGAGGCCAAATACACTCCAGCATGCACATACTTCTCTGGTGGTAAGAAAGATGACTCTTTAATAAAAGGCCATTTGTCACATGTTTCTTACATTTTAAGAACTAGTTAACACATAATAACAGGCCTATTTTGGAAGTCTAATCATTCATATGTATTATGATAATCTCATAAAGTCGATGGAAATTACTAGAACCTTATTTAAGCAACTCTACCCAAAAACCAAACCAAAGTCACTGCCATTGAGTTGATTCCACCTCATAGCAACCTCCTTTGGGTTTCCAAGGCAGTAAATCTTTAGGAAGTAGATTGCCCAGTCTTCCTTCTGCGGAGTGGCTGGTGTGTTTGAACCACCAACATTCTGGTTAGCAAACTCCTTAGATACTGAGCCACAGAGCTCCTTAATCAATTCTAAGAGGTACTTTTTCATTTAAAAAAATCTCTGAAATAGATTTTAATACCTTACAACCAGTGGCAAGTTACCGTTTTATTGGCATTTTTTTTTTCTTAGTGGCATGTAACACAATAGTATGTCTTAAAATCTATGGCATTTGTTCAAATACAGAAAATACATATATCAATAAAATTTACTGGCAATCCATTGCCATCAAGTCAATTCTGACTCATAGTGACTCTACAGGACAGAGCAGAACTGCACCATAGGTTTCCCAAAGCTATCATCTTTACAGAAGTAGACTGCCATACCGTTCTCCTATGGAGTGGCTGGTGGATTCGAACTGTCGACCTTTTGGTTAGCTGCCAAAAACCCTTAACCACTGTGCCACCAGGGTGCCTTAAAATTACACCAGTGGCTTTTATTTAATATACAGTTTTTAAACTCTGTGTGCTTTAATCATAAACATAATTACTATGACTGTTTTGATTCACTTTTCCCCCATCATGTTCAGTGGTGGAAGCATAAGGACTTTAGAATTCTGATCAATTATATTGATACTCTGAATTATCTCAAGGTGGCTACACCCTCAAATCATTAGTTGGTACAAATCCCTTTTTTATTCTAGTGAAAATGTTTATTTTATAGATAATAGAATAATTTTTATGTCAGATTGATAACATTTAGGGGTATGTTTCTGTGCACAATAGAGAAAATGAACTGTTATAACAAATTCAACTTTGTTTTGCAAAAAAGGTACCAGTAGGGTTATTTGGGTTTTTTTTTTTTTTTTCCTTTCAGATTTTCTCCCATCTAAAAAATATTATATAACTTGGGTAGCTAGTGGTAAAAAAAAATTACTTGCATATACCCATAAAAGCATTCTTAGTTTTGGGCGATCCTTAGAGATCCAGTCAGGTGTCCTCAAAGCATGTTCTTTCCAATAAAATTCTAAATCTGACAACCTAAGCCTCTTGCCACCCTACATACTTTCAAAGTTTGACAAGATAAATAGAAATCAGCCACCAAACACTAGTTTGATCTGAATTAACTAGCTGGCTTAATTATGTTTGGATGGTCCTGCCTAACTACCTGTCACTGGCCTAGAGACAGGAAAAGCAGTTTACTATTATGGTGTGAGGAAAGTCAGTATTTATTGAAATTCTAATTTTTAGACCTTGGGATAGAAATAAATTTCTTGGCCAAATTAACATGTGTTCTAAATACCTAACCACCTTTTCTTTGCATATTCTTCACAAAGTTCCTTTTAAAAAATAAAATAGGAGATAAGAGTTGTCACTGTTGTCCTTTTATGGCTTCATATGTGTAACTTGTGATTACTCTGTCACATTAGTGACCATCCCCAATTTTAGTGTCTTAAACAACATGCTGCTTCTATAGGAAGTATCTCTGGCATTTGAATTACCGTGGGGAAAATATTAGCTTTAATTGAAGACTTCTATCCATTAGATGATTTACGGTCACAAACTCACTGAAATGCTCACAACAATCCTCTAAAACATAGCTCCTAGTATTCCCATTACACAAAAGAGGAAAACTGAGACCTGGTCTCATCCCCATGGTGACAAAACCAGTATGAGGAATTAGCAGCCAGATCTATGAAACCAGAGGCTCTCATCTCTTCTGCCTCTTTCTACAGTGTCTCTTTACATTGTTCTTTTCCATTTGAATCAAGAGATGTATAAGAAGAAAAAGAGAGTGATGGCAGCGGAGAGGGCAGTAAACTTTAATTTTGAAAACGGGCAAAATAAAGTAAAACTTGTTGTTGTTGTTGTTATGTGCCATCGAGTCAAACCCGACTCATAGTAAAACTTAGGCCCATCCTTTACTCTGCATTCTCAACCTATACAAAACTCTATGGAAATTCTCCCACTGAGTTAATTATGGAACAGTGCCTAATGTGTTCCAATAGAAAGCTCCTCTGTTTGGGCTACCCAGGATTTATGGAGGAGTTTAAATCATTAAATAACCATAGTTAACCCTTGTTTGGTTAAGAGAGCAAGGAATTATTGGGCGGGGGGAACCTCTTTCCTCCCTTTCAAAAACAGCACAAAAATTGTTCTGAAGAGATTTACACAATACATCAACATCTGTGCCGTACCTAGAGTTGTTAAAATAATTGTGATGACAGGTGTCTAGGTACCACTTTCTTAATGGTTTTCAATATCCATTGATTTATTGTTGTGGCTTTCCCTACTTCCTTTCACATCCTTGGCTTTATGAAGGAGCTGAGGAACAGATTTTGCACTAGAGACTGATTCTTTATTCCAATGCTGAAAAGAACTAATAAAAATAATCACTTGGCTTTTAAGCAGAAAGCTTCCATTTACAGTATTTTACCCTCCCCCCTCCAAGCCCCTTGTTATCTAACATAATGGTTAGAATACATTTCCGTCTCTCCCCTTAATAATTTTATGCATTAACATCCTCTTCACACACCAGACACACACACACGCGCGCAAAAGGAAAAAAAGAGGCAGCAGAAATCTCAGCTGTACTTCTAGCCCTTTTAAAAAGTTTGCTCTGTAAATTGGAATGAGGTCAGATTTGGAGCTTCTCATTGCACGCGGAGATTATTATTGCATCGGGTTCCAAGCCAATGGGAAGCCTGGGGGAGGGGCTTGGCACGAGGAAGCGTTGGCTACAGCGGCTGATTGGTTGTGGCCACGACTGTGAAAGGATAAAGAGGCGCGAGGCGGAATTGGGGTCTGCTCTAAGCTGCAGCAAGAGAAACTGTGTGTGAGGGGAAGAGGCCAGTTTCGCTCTCGGGTCTCTAGTTCTTGCACGCTCGTTAAGAGTCTGCATAGGAGGAACTCTGCCATTACTGGCTCCCTTCTGCAAGAAGGAAAGAAGAAAACATACATTTATTCATGCCAGTCTGTTGCATGAAGGCTTTTTGGCTTCATACCTTGCAACAAAATAATTGCACAAACTCCTTAGTGCCGATTCCGCCCACAGAGAGTCCTGGAACCAGAGTCTTTTTTCCTTAGCATTGTAAGAAAGGAACAAAGTGAGAGAGACTATGTCGCTTTCCTGAGCTCCCGAGAGCTCTCGTGAACTGGAACCAACCGCTTCAGGGAAAGAAAGGGAAAAAAAAAAAAAAAAAAACTTGGAGGCGGCGAGAAACTTACGTTGGAAGCTTCAGCAACCAGCATTCAAGAAACTCCACTTTAACACGGTCTCCAGACTCAGCCGAGAGACAGAAACTGAGCAAACTGCAACGCGGTGAGAGAGAAAGACAGGGAGGGAGAGACGCTCCAGCCTGGGAACTACAACTCCTCAGCAAAAGGCAGAATACTCCTTCCCCGCGTCTGGGGGACTTTTCTCCGCCGGAGTTGAGCAGCCCGCCTGCCCGCCGCGCGCGTCCTCCCCCTCGGCTAGTGCTTGGCCTGGGGAGCCGGGAGGGCCCGGCGATTGCGCCGCGGCCGCCGCGAGGGTGTGAGCGCGCGTGGGCGCACGCCGAGCCGGGGCCATGGTGCAGCAAACCAACAACGCCGAGAACACGGAAGCGCTGCTGGCCGGCGAGAGTTCGGACTCCGGAGCCGGCCTCGAGCTGGGCATCGCCTCCTCCCCCACGCCGGGCTCCACCGCCTCTACGGGCGGCAAGGCCGACGACCCAAGCTGGTGCAAGACGCCGAGCGGGCATATCAAGCGACCCATGAACGCCTTCATGGTGTGGTCGCAAATCGAGCGGCGCAAGATCATGGAGCAGTCGCCGGACATGCACAACGCCGAGATCTCTAAGCGGCTGGGCAAACGCTGGAAGCTGCTCAAAGACAGCGACAAGATCCCTTTCATTCGGGAGGCGGAGCGGCTGCGCCTCAAGCACATGGCTGACTACCCCGACTACAAGTACCGGCCCAGGAAGAAGGTGAAGTCTGGCAATACCAACTCCAGCTCCTCGGCCGCCGCCTCTTCCAAGCCGGGGGAGAAGGGAGACAAGGTCGGTGGCAGCGGCGGGGGTAGCCATGGGGGCGGCGGTGGCGGGAGCAGTAACGCGGGGGGAGGAGGCAGTGGCGCGAGCGGCGGCGGCGCCAACTCCAAACCCGCGGTGAAAAAGAGCTGCGGCTCCAAAGTGGCGGGCGGCGCGGGCGGCGGGGTCAGCAAACCGCACGCCAAACTGATCCTAACGGGCGGCGGCGGCAAAGCGGCGGCCGCCACCTCCGCCTCCTTCGCTGCCGAGCAGGCTGGGGCAGCCGCCTTGCTGCCCCTGGGCGCCGCCGCCGCTGCCGACCACCACTCTCTATACAAGGCGCGGACTCCCAGTACCTCCTCGGCGTCCTCGGCCGCCGCCGCCGCTCCGGGCAAGCACCTGGCCGAGAAAAAGGTGAAGCGCGTCTACCTGTTCGGCGGCTTGGGCGCATCGTCGTCTCCTGTTGGCGGCGTGGGCGCGGGTGCCGACCCCAGCGACCCCCTGGGCCTGTACGAAGAAGGGGGCGCAGGCTGCTCGCCCGACGGGCCGAGCCTCAGTGGCCGCAGTAGCGCCGCCTCGTCGCCAGCCGCCGGCCGCTCGCCGGCCGACCATCGCAGCTACGCCAGCTTGCGCGCCGCCTCACCCGCCCCGTCTAGCGCGCCCTCGCACGCGTCCTCCTCGGCCTCGTCGCACTCCTCCTCCTCCTCTTCCTCCTCCTCTTCGGGTTCCTCGTCCTCCGACGACGAATTTGAAGACGATCTACTCGACCTGAACCCCAGCTCAAACTTTGAGAGCATGTCCCTGGGCAGTTTCAGCTCTTCGTCAGCGCTGGACCGGGACCTAGATTTTAACTTCGAGCCCGGCTCCGGCTCGCACTTCGAGTTCCCGGACTACTGCACGCCCGAGGTGAGCGAGATGATCTCAGGAGACTGGCTCGAGTCCAGCATCTCCAACCTAGTCTTCACCTACTGAAGGGCGCGCGCGCGAAAGAAGAAGGGCCGGGGGGCAAGAGAGGAAAATAAAAAATTACCAGATGAAGAATGGGAAGAGAAAAGGGAAAAAAAAGGAAAACAAGAAAAAAAATAAAAGCAAGCGGGGGCTGGCTTCGGCGAGGAGCGCAGCGGGGGTTTTTTTTTTTTTTTTTTTTTGACCCGCGCTCCCATCCCCCACCTCCCCGGGCCGGGACACCTCGGCCCAGCTGGAGGGATGCGGAGGAGGAAGAGGGTAGACAGGGGCGACCTTTCATTGTTGTTATTGATGTTGTTGTTGATGGCAAAAACGACTTCGAGTTTCCTCCCCTTTGCTTGAAGAAACCCCCCCTCCAACGAGCTTCCGGACTTGTCTGCGCCCCGACCGAGTTACTAGTTTTCTAGAGAACTGAAGGAATCTCGCCCCTCTCACATCGCCACCTCGGTGTTTTTTGTTTTTGTTGCTTTTGTTTTTGTTTTTCTTTGTCAGCAGAGAAAAAAAAAATCCACTCGCCCCTGAGGTTTTTATTCTCGCCTACCCCCACATTTTTCCTCCTGAAGACGAGGAGGCTCCAGGGCGATGAATTTTTTTGGCCGACGGCAGATGTTTTTGGGTCACGCAGACTCGAGCACTGGGACTGAGGGACTCTACCCTGGCGAATTCCCGGGATTGTTTTTTTCTTCTCCCCCCTTTATTTTTTCTTTCCTTTTTTTTTTTTTTTCCCCCTCCTCTCTCCCCTTTCCTTGCCTGTGCAGCTGGAGGAGGAGATATTGAGGGGAGGAGGCAAGAGTGACCCGCGCAAGGAAATGAACCGAGAGCCTCGTTGGAAGCCACACCAGCGAGGGCTGTGGGGGCAGGGAGGAAGGACATGAGCTGGAAGGAGGAGAAAAAACTGAAATGGATTTGCACGTTCAGGAGAAGGTGGCGGCGTTTTCTCGGCCTCCCCCTGATAAATGTATGAAATCAGTGAGGTGAGACTTAACAGACCCGGAGGCGTGGAGGAGAGGAGACTGTTTGATGTGGTACAGGGGCAGCGGAGGGCGAGTGGTTTCGGGGGAAAAAAGAAAAAAGTTTTTTTCTTCTCTTAATCGGAATCGTGATGGTGTTGGATTATTTCACTGGTGGGGTTAATATAGCATGTTATCCTGTCTATCTTTTAAAGATTTCTGTATAAGACTGTTGAGCAGTTTTTAAAATAGTGTAGGATAATATAAAAAGCAGATAGATGGCGCTATGTTTGATTCCTACAACAAAATTATCACCAGCTTTTTTTCATTCTTAACTCTTTAAAGGATTCAAACGCAACTCAAATCTGTGGACTTTAAAAAAAAACAATTCAGGACCAAATTTTTTCTCAGTATGTATGTGTTTATTCCTTATAGGTGTAAATGAGAAGACGTGTTTTTTTCCCTCACCGATGCTCCATCCTCGTTTTTTTTTTTTCCTTGTAAATGTAATCAGATGCCATTTTATATGTGGACATATTTATACTGGCCAAACATTTTTTTATTCTTATTTTGTCCCTTTTTTTTTTTTTTTTTTTTTTTTGTGCTTTCTTTTTTTTCCTTTGTTTCTTCCTACCTTTATTTCTTTTTTCTTTTTATTTGGTAGTTGTTGTTACCACACCATTTTACGTCTCCTTCACTGAAGGGCTAGAGTTTTAACTTTTAATTTTTTATATTTAAATGTAGACTTTTGACACTTTTAAAAAACAAAAGACAAGAGAGATGAAAACGTTTGATTATTTTCTCAGTGTATTTTTGTAAAAAATATATAAAGGGGGTGTTAATCGGTGTAAATCGCTGTTTGGATTTCCTGATTTTATAATAGGGCGGCTGGTTAATATCTCACAGTTTAAAAAATCAGCCCCTAATTTCTCCATGTTTACACTTCAATCTGCAGGCTTCTTAAAGTGACAGTATCCCTTACCTGCCACCAGTATCCACCCAAACCCATGTCTTACTTTAAAAAAAAAAAAAAAGGAGGGGGAGGGGAAAATAAGCCAAACACTGTATGCTTTTCAGAAAAACATTTTTAAACGAAATACTGTTATGTCCAGAGGCTTTAAAACTGGTGCATTTACAGCAAAAAGGGATCCTGTAGCTTTAATTTGTAAACCACATCTTTTTTGCACTTTTTTTATAAGCAAAAACGTGCCGTTTAAACCACTGGATCTATCTAAATGCCGATTTGAGTTTGCGACACTATGTACTGCGTTTTTCATTCTTGTATTTGACTATTTAATCTTTTCTACTTGTCGCTAAGTATAATTGTTTTAGTCTTATGGCATGATGATAGCATATGTGTTCAGGTTTATAGCTGTTGTGTTTAAAGATTGAAAAAAGTGGAAAACATCTTTGTACATTTAAGTCTGTATTATAATAAGCAAAAAGATTGTGTGTATGTATGTTTAATATAACATGACAGGCACTAGGACGTCTGCCTTTTTAAGGCAGTTCCGTTAAGGGTTTTTGTTTTTAAACTTTTTTTTGCCATCCATCCTGTGCAATATGCCGTGTAGAATATTTGTCTTAAAATTCAAGGCCACAGAAAACAATGTTTGGGGGAAAAAAAAGAAAAAAAATCATGCCAGCTAATCATGTCAAGTTCACTGCCTGTCAGATTGTTGATATATACCTTCTGTAAATAACTTTTTTTGAGAAGGAAATAAAATCAGCTGGAACTGAACCCTAAATTTTGACTTTTGGTCATCATTATGTCCAATGCCTTAGTAATGAAACGGGTATGTTCTCAAGAGAGGAGCCTATTAAATGTCATCTTATTGAGGAATACCAAATTCCTCTTGGCCAGATTAGGAGGCCCTGACCCTGAAATGATGGCGTCAGCTGAATGAATATGTGTCAGCTCTCCATGCTTTCTAGGAATTTTCTGCATTTACTACATTTAAATAAATGCTCTTTGTTTTCAGATTTTTAAAAGAGGAGGAGGGAGCCACATGACCAGAATTCTTCACAGATGAAACTGAGTGATCTTTTAATTTTAGGCTCCTAAAGCTGCTTTCTCCTTGACTTGTCCAATACTACCATGGAGCAGTGTCTAAAAATGTTACCCACAGATTAAGAATAAATAAACTTGTTATATTGTCAGTATGTATGTTTTAGCTTTTACCAGTTATGAAATGTAAAAGTTGTATTTTTCCACGAAAAAAAAAAAAGCTGATAACGGTGCTAAAATCTCCATTTTGTGTGAAACCCAACATGGATATATATATATGTACTATGTATAAGAGAAATGCAACAATAGGGATAACCTGGAGAAGTTGGCTCCTTGAGGGCTTAGAGGCCCCCTCCCCTTTCAATCTGTGGAGAGCACTTTAGCTAGCAGGGAAATTTATACTTTTTACAAGCATCTGGCACAGTAGTAGTATTGAGAGCTGTATGCAAAGAGAAGACATTTACCTTGAATTTCCTAAGGGCCTTTAGTATTTTTTTGTAACATGCAAGTTGCTAAGTAGAAGTGTTCCCTGCTTATTTTTAGGGTTAATTGCTATTAACAAACAAAACCCATCTTCATTTTCAAATGTCAATTAAAAAGGTATTTCACGTGTCTTCTAGTTTCTCAGCACTGGAAAGGAGGGGTTAATAAGCAGAAGTGTTGGGAGATAATCCTTTAATCAACGGATTTGCTTATACGTAAAGGAGTATCCTTCATCTTGTAATGTACAGCTGAAAAGAGGGATTTTTGAGCCTGTAATTCAAGCAATTTATTTTTGTTCAATGAACAGCAAAATCCCCCTGCCCCAATAATAAAACTTATAGCTGCTTAAAGAACCAAACCCACTGCCATCCAATCTATTCCAACTTACAGCTGCTAGTGTCCAATTTTTTTTTATCTATTCTGCTGATATATTTAGTGAGTAATTTGTGTTCTACAATTGTAATACCCTATTTCTAAAAAAAGATTTTAAAATGGGTTTGGAATATCTTTTTTAAAAGATCTTTGCAAAAGAAGGAATTTCTCCTTTATGAAATGTTTAGTTTGTGTTCATTGTGGTGATGATAGTATATGATAAGATTTTTTTTAACGTTCAAGATACCAAAACCTTAACATAAAGCCTATATGAGGCCTTTTTTTTTTTTTTCAAGTGGTACATACCTTTTAAAGTACAGTTTTATTTTATAGGATACTTCTGTTAGAACTGTGTTTATTTTTCCTTGACTTTGCATGCAAGAGCAGCAGATACTTTAAATGTTTTCTTTAAGAATTTTGATAACATTGCTTTGAAAAATGAAAGCTTAAATGTTTATGTCTTTTCTTTAAGGAGGGTAGGGTACATTTAAGAAACATTTGTGCTTGCATTCCTCTGAATCTGTTTTTCTTCTTAAGGGACACTATGTTAGTGCAAGGCATAATAAACCTGAGAAAACGGTGTATAGCATGACTTTTGGTACTACTTCTGGCCCTGTGTACCATCAGAAATGTGAATTAGTAAATACTTGTTTAAACTAGTTTTGTCAGTTCTTAGTTGAATCTTTTTAAGTGCCAAGAAAAAAAAAAAATGGGCATGAAAGCTGATATAGTGGGCTAAGTGCATGAAAGAACTTCCCGGATTTGCTCTCTGGGGTTGTGGAAGCACTAAGGGATTCTGAGAAAAATCAAGAAAGCAAAGGACTGAGAAGTAGACATCATTTGCTAAGTATTTCCTGTGTTTATAGTGCTACATATGAATTAGAAGATACGGTGTGTGGAATGTTCTGGGTCAGAATATTTAACGTTAAAAATGTAATTTAGGGGTTCCCAGGGAAGTATTTGGAAGACCTGTATGTCAGAAACACTAAGAGTTCTGCTATGAATACAAATTCATCCCACCTATTTGGATTTCGCAGGTGGAAGGTTAGTTTGCTTTATTTCCCCAGCACCACCACCACTCATGAGTTTTGTTTTGCTTTTTGCCCCTCCTCCCCCTTGAGATCTGTGAAACAACTTGCTGGCCCAGTACTCAAACCCTTGTGATGCTGCCAGGCAAATTCCATATACTCTTT